TTCAGACAGTAGCTCTGAGAGGTGATGCAGTGCTAAAATTTTCTGATTCTATTACTTGAAATTTCACTTGACTGTGCAGACAAAAGAACAAATGGTACTTTATTTCCTATGTCATAGTTTAACATGATTTTGAAGGTTAGTCTGGGAACCTAACCACCAAAATTTTATTTCTACAGAAAAAACAAGTGTGCTCCTTCATTTCTGGGATGAGGCTGCAGAGGTTGCTGGCAGCATCAGGCATGAGTCAGGTATTCCTATCCTGGGAACTGCCTAGGATATTTTAGCAGCCCTCTCTCTCTGGACTAAAATATCCAGAATTGGGCTTTGTCAAAACTTCCTCCTTGTCAGTCAGCAGTACAGTAATACACACTGGGAGACTTAAAAAAAACCCTAGATTTATTAAGTTAATGACGGCTGTTTAAATTACATTTAAATAGCAACCCAGAAGAGCCAAATAAAGTTTCTCAATTCAATGAACCTTTGCGAAACAAAAAATCCTTTTCTAAAGGAAAAAATAAAAATCTTCCCTGAGATTTCAAGAAGCTTATCTTTTGGAGTAAGAAGGTATGTCTGGGGCTTCCCTGGTGGCGCAGTGGTTGAGAATCCGCCTGCCAATGCAGGGGACACGGGTTCGAGCCCTGGTCCGGGAAGATCCCACATGCCGTGGAGCAACTAAGCTCGTGCACCACAACTACTGAGCCTGTGCTCTAGAGCTCGCAAGCCACAACTACTGAGCCCGTGTACCACAACTATTGAAGCCCGCACGTCTAGAGCCCGTGCTCTGCAACGAGAGAAGCTACCACAATGAGAAGCCCACGCACCACAACGAAGAGTAGCCCCCACTCGCCGCAACTAGAGAAAAGCCTGTGCGCAGCAACGAAGACCCAACACAGCCAAATAAATAAATAAATAAAAAGGATGTCTGCTTTCCAAGATAAAACTAATTCAAACAGTCATCTTCTGTCAACCATTTATTATACTGAAGTTCCAAATACTCAAGACTATTTGCTAATTTGTTTCATCATTTTGACTGGAATTCACTGGATCCTTACCTCTGATAAGATTAATGCAATGTATGATATCACACTTCTAGTACAGTATTTTAAAATAATCTTAAAATTAGTACTGTTACAATGTTACAACTCCTTTCCCATATCCTTAAAAATCACCCTTTGGTAACTGGCAATCTTAGACATTTTGAAAGTATGTAGTCTACAGAAAGATGATTCATAACATGAAACAGGATCACAATGAAGTTAAGAGTTAAGATGTAAACTCCTACCATGGGATCAATGCATCTACTAAATTGGCTTTTCCTATGACTATAACCATATAAAACTTCACCAAAGAAGTTAATTAGAAGTTTACAAAAAACTACTGATACTTAATTGTACCCATTTACATAAAACAATACTTTGACACTTTTAAAAAGACAAAGTATGGTTTAAATGATTTAATCCTTACACTCCTGGTTACTTGCTGAACCTCAATCTTCGGTTATTTTTAATTCATATACTAAACTGGTGCCTACCAATCTACAAAAAAGTGTGGTGGTGTCTTTTGGTTTTGTTGTTTTTAATTTGAATTGGCTGCCAAAAATCTGGATTTGTGGCTTCCCTTAAAAAAAAAAATCTGGCAACTTTGGGCACAGATCCTGGCAATAGCAACATTTGGAGGGAGCTGAATAGCAGCTGCCCTCTTCTAATAGCACATGCAATTTCTAGCTCCCTCCAATTCTCTTTGCTCACTTTGGTCACCTGCCTAGCCATCAGAGTTTGAAATCTTTATTTTACTGGAAAATTGACTGACTGGGCTTTTCAGGGGCCTTAAGACCTTTAATCATAGAAATACAGTAAATCAAGTGATAGCCCTGGCATTACAGCTATGTATTCCAAATGTTAACTATAACTAGCAAGACACCATTAAAATGTACAAGGCACTATCATTGTTAAGAGCTTTTTAGTATCTTAACTTTGGTCTGTCTTCAATTCTTCAAAGAATCATGATATTCAGCCTTTTACCCTTCCTCAAAATAAAGAAATTAACCTTGTATTTCAATATTATGGCACGCTAAGAGCAACAAAATCTTGCTGCATCTGTATAACAAAGGTAAAGAAGAAAAACAGGAAGCAAGTAAAAAAAGGTCTCTGATCAGTCAGACCACACAGTTCACAGAACACATGAAGCCCTCTTCACTCAGAGCCTACTGGATCTTATTTTAGACATAATTTTAATAAGCTCAGTGATCTGGTTTCCCAGCCCACAACAGATGAGAGGCAGCCAACTGGAAAAGGGCTGGGGGTGGTGCTGCTAGAGGCAGACACTCAAAGCATCAAAATCAAAGCTGAAGACTGATAATGTCAGCAGAAAACCTCAAAACGTAGCAGGCTGGGGCCATTTGGTGTAGATACGAACAATCCCAAAGGGTCCCAATCCCTGCACAGAACTACAATGGATGTTCAAAATGAAACCTCTTTGGTAAACTCTGTTAAAGCATAGGTCAGTTGACCTTAAAGTATATATCAAAATAAAGTCCACCAAAAGCTTTTTCCAAAAAAGTCATGGCATTTAAAGGACTGTCAGATTCACAGAACACTATTTCCCTCTGTCAATGAAACACAAGATACTGAATTCCTAAAGATGCCACATGTCAAAAGTATTTGTTCTTAATAAAATTTTATTAGAACCCAGATGCAGTAGTTCATGATATCTGAAGTTGAGAGGTATTTAAGCAGAACTATTTTCTCAGAGAATAGCAACTGGGAAGGTTCAAGACCAAGATCAGTTATGTAAGCCAAGTATGTCTTTGGGGGATTCCATCGCAGATACATTACTAGGGCTGAGGGTGAGATAGGACTGGTCTTATCCAAGTCTGCATTCAATTTAAAATTGGTGTCATACAAAAAGTTAGGGGAAAAAAATCTCCATTTTGTTTTCACAATCTTATTGACTATGACTAGTATGTACATCAAAAATAAATTTTATTTTTCTAATCCCTGGCAGTCTCAGAAGTTGAGCCATACTTTGAGGATGGCTCTAGGTTATAAACCAGGTGAAAAAAGGTTAATACTGAGTTTTAAAAGTTCAAATCATCATTGTGTACACTTGATTTTCCTTATTAAAATTTTAATAAGGGCATCTTTTAGAGAAAATCTAGAGAACATGTAGTATTCAAAAGAAATCATATTATTGGAGGCAAGGATATTAGAAGATTAAAATGCATGTTTTGAGTGCTAGTTCCTTTTCTGAAAAAACCTCCATAACATACATATCAGAGTAGAGATTAAAGGCTACATTTCTTGATTTGTAAGTGATCGCACATTATACTCACTCTTCTTCAGGTTTTAAAAATAAGGCCACAATCTTCCACAAGTATAATCTTGAATTGATAACTTCTCAATTAGTCTTTAAAATCTCATAACTCCTTAAAGCCTTAAAAATGCATATGTATTATTTACTTGGAAGACCTGTCCTCAGTGTGCTCCTGCTCCTTAAATGGTTAAGAGATCTTTGCTTAAAGTTCAAGCTTCTTTTAACAAATAACCGGCTTCATTTTAGTAGATTTACTCTGTCTAAAGTCTGCCCTTTTTCATCTGATAGAAATCAAAGTCAAAAGAAGTTGGTGAGGATCTAACCTAATTTACAGTAACCATTGGGATTAATTCCACATTAAAGGTCTTTGATCAAGAATGAAACGAAGACAAGCTGCTGAGCTGAGGTGTTTAAACTGACCAAACCTGCATTTTCACTGAGTTTAAGGCAAGGTGAAAATTGGTTCTCTTCCCCTTGCATCTCTATCCCATCCTTTAGGATGGATAATCCCAGGATCTACTTCTTACTGGCTAGAGGTTTAATACAGCCTCTCCAAGTAGCCAAGTGAAACACCAAACAAAAATCACCAGTGCCGCTTCCCCACTTCTGAGAAGAAGAAGGAAAAAAAGATAGTGAGAGGTAATAGGAGGTTACAATATTACAGGGAAGGGAAAAAACCCTAAACTTTAAGCTAAACCCATACTCCAGAGCAATATTAGAAAAACCTCTGTAGAGACAACTACAAATAAATAACCCTTCATCCTAAAGGGCAAAGAAATCCTTCCTAATGGAAAAAGGTAGCAAAATACCTCCTACATTAAAAGGATCTCCCTGAACATATCACCTAATTTAAGCGTTAAAATACGTTTTGCGAAGAGAATGTAAAAAGACACTTTATGAAATTCTCTCCAGTGGTTTTCAATTTTCAGGTTTCTACCTCTACCCTTGACAATTTAACAGGTTTTCTATTAAATCCATTCCTGCAAACTGAAGTGTCAGTTTCTGACTACATTTGGCAACCTCAAGGAATAAAACGCTTCTCCCTCTACTTCCCTCCTGCCTCATAAAAGTCATGTTTATTTCCTCCTGAACTTCCTACTCTTAACAGTTTCTGGAAGAGTTAAGTGGACCGAAGCGTGCGGCCACTAAGAGGCAAGTGAACTCCAGAAATATTTGTGGATCAGACAAAAAGGCTTCCTCAGTCTGCCTGAGATACGGGCCCCAAGCTCAAGTGGTTCTGTGGAGGAAGCCTAGGCAAGTGGGGGTAGGGGTTTTATGGGCAGAGATGGGGCATAGAGCCCTTTCGACCTCCGTCGATGGGGCCGCCCAACGCCCCAGTCCCAGCACCCCCTCCCGGCACGGCCGGACAATGGCCCTCTGGCACAGCAGTCCCAGGCCGGGGAGAGGCCCTGGGACTCCATACCACGCGGGGCCTAGAGAGGAGGCCGGGAAGGAACGCTGAGCCGGCGAACATACCTCCGGCCTAAGCGCGGGCAGCGCGCCCGGGCCTCCGTGGGCGCCATCACTGGGAGTGGGGTGTGAAGGCAGCCCGGCCGGGGCATCGCCGGCAGCCGGGTCCAAAGAAGCTGCGAGCCCGGCGGAGGCGACGGCGGGAAATGCAGGCCGCAGCCTGCTCAGCCGACCCACCCGGCAGCCCGACCCGCCAAAGCCGACCTTTGGCAGCTTACCTTGTGGATTCTCTTCAGAGCCATCGTGGGAGGCAGGTGGAGGCGGCCCCCGGGGCGGGAACAGGGGCAGGGGAGGGACGGGGAAGGGACGAGGGGGCGCGAGGCCGCCTCGGTGATCGCGGGTCGGCCGGAGAAGATAGGGAGTTCCGGAGCGCGGGTCCGGCGGGACGGACTTGGGGCCGTGGCCCACTCGGCTCCTGAGCCTGCCGCAGGGGTCACCGCATCACCCGGCGGCGGCCCCTTTATGCGCTGCCGCCCGAGCCGCCGCCGCCGCCGCCACCGCGGTAGCTGCCTCTTCCTTCTAGGCTCAGCGCCGCCTCCTCAGCCGCCGCGGATCCCTCCGCCAGGGAGCAAGAGCCCAGGCCTCGGGCTCGGCAGGCGCCTCTGGGTCGGACGGTCGGAGGGACTGCTTGCTGCAGGTGGACCGAGGGACGCGCGGGCGGGCGGCGCCGCCGGGGTGGGGCAGGCGGAGCGCGGGGTGGGCCCAGGCCGAGGGGCAGGTCGGGAGAGCGGGGATTGGCGGGCCGGGGAGGGAGGGCTGGGCCGCGCCGGCGGCGGAGGGATACGGGCCGCCCCTGTGAGTACCTTACGCGCTGTCGCCGTCGCTGCCACGGCCGCCGAGACGATGACGCCGAGAAGCGCAAGGAGGAGATCTCGCGAGACGTGTGGTGCGGATCGCAGGAGCTCTTTCGCTCGCTACGACCGATGAGTCCCTTACTTGTTTGTGGTCCCTCATTTGCGTGACGTCTGAGATCAATAAACGTTAAAAGCGAATGTTTTTCAGATCACCCGACCATCCCCAGAGCGTAGACGGACCCGGGAAGAGCGCTTAGGTCCATTGCAATGTTCCTGAAGGAGGAAGGGACTTGTCCAAGGTCACACAGCTCCACAGTGGCAAAGCTGGGACTTCCCTGAAGTCGAGAGTTTCGTCAGATCCCTCCCTGGAAGCCGCGTGGCAACAGCCTGGGCACCTGCGGGAATGTGGTTGTACAAGCACGCCGCAGGCAGCCCTGAGATGGTGTTTCCGACAAAGGCCCCAGCTGAGAGACAGTTTGAATGTCTCAGCCACTGATATGTCAGGAGAAGTGCTCTGCTTGGTAAATTGTTACAAATAGGCACTGTAGCTGTTACCTCAGGGAGAAAAACAAAAAAAACAAAAAACTTGCAAAACATGTGCTCCAGTAATTAAAACCAACCTTGCGTTCAAATCACCATCAAAAGCAAGGTTAGAAAACCTATTTTGGGGTTGTTTTTAGAAGATGAAGGCAAAAGGCTAGTTCACTGAGCAACTACTCTGTGTCGAACCCTGCACCAGGACTAGTGAAATATAAGGCTCACTGGTTTTATAAGGCCTGGGCTGGGAGGTGCTTTTTACCTGTCTGGAGACACTGGGAACACGGAAGAATAGTAAAGAATATTTTCCTGGGAGGTGATGCCCACATTCTCAAGTCTCCACCAAAGTTTTCTGATTCTAAATCTGTTCTTTCCTCTGTCTGGAAGGGACCTTGAAGATCATTGATTAAGAGAGGAGAAACTGGAGTCCCTAAGGAAAAGAATCTTGCCAAAAGTCACATAATACATCAGCAGCAAAACTTGTACTGCTTCATCTACTGAGTAGAGGCTGGACCCATAGGGCAGGGCCACCATGGACCCAGTGAGTCAAAGGAGGGAAAAGCTGTGTCCAGTCGCCCAAGATGCATAGGTTTTAGGTTGAAGGTGAAGAGGAAGAGTCCAAAGTCCTAAATCTTTTCTTCCTGAGAACTGTGATGGGAGAGGTACAAAAATGACCATTGGTCAGATTTTTAAAAATTTTTCTTCAGCAATAACTTTTTTATATTAAAAAGTAATATATATTTGTTGCAAGAAATACAGATAAGTAAAAGGAAGGAAATAAAAGTCAACCATACTCCCATCATCCAATGATTAACCATTTTTGGCATTTGGCTTATGTCCTTTCAGTGTTTTTCCATTATATATATATACATATTTTTCTTTGAAAATGTAGGGTCATGCCATTATACTATTTGGTAATCTACCTTTTTTAAAAAAAATTTATGTACTTAAGATGTACAGCATGTTGATTTGATATACATAAACATAGTGTTATGATTACTACATCTCTATCTCCTCATTTTTTGTGTGTGTGGTGAAAGCACCTGAAATTTTTGATAATTTACTTTTAAAATAAACAATATATGGTGAATTTTCCTGTGTCAAGACATATGTCTACTATATTTTAATGGCTACATATTCAATCATATAAATGTACCATATTTAATTAACTTGTCACATTTTGGGGGATATGTAAGTTGTTTCCAATTTTTACCATTAAAAATATTGCTATAAAAAAAATATATATATATATATATATTGCTATAGGGCTTCCCTGGTGGTGAAGAATCTGCCTGCCAATGCAGGGGACACGATTTTGAGCCCTGAGCCGGGAAGATCACACATGCCGCAGAGCAACTAAGCCCGTGTGCCACAACTACTGAGCCTCTGCTCCAGATCCCATGAGCCACAACTACTGAGCCCATGTGCCACAACTACAGAAGCCCGCGCGCCTAGAGCCTGTGCTCCGCAACAAAAGAAGCCACTGCAATGAGAAGCCTGCGCACCACAATGAAGAGTAGCCCCCGCTCGCCGCAACTAGAGAAAGCCCGGGCACAGCAACGAAGATCCAATGCAGCCATAAATAAATAAATAAAATTAATAAATTAAAAAAATATATATTGCTATAGTGAAAAAAATATATTGCTATAGTGGATATTCTGTAGTTGATCTTTGTACAACTGTAAGAGGGCTTTTTGGTATAAATTCCTAAGAATGAAATTGCTATATCAAAGACTGATCAGATTTTTGCACCTATGTTCATGAGGGATAAGGGTTTATAATTTTCTTTTTTTGTAATATCTCTGTCAACTTTTCATATCAACGTTATTCTGGCCTCATAAAATAAATTGGAGGGCTTCCCTGGTGGCGCAGTGGTTGAGAGTCCGCCTGCCGATGCAGGGGACACGGGTTCATGCCCCGGTCCGGGAAGATCCCACGTGCCGCGAAGCGGGTAGGCCCATGAGCCATGGCCGCTGAGCCTGCGCGTCCGGAGCCTGTGCTCCGCAACGGGAGAGGCGACAACAGTGAGAGGCCCGCGTACCGCAAAAAAAATTAAATAAAATAAACAAAATAAAAATAAATTGGAAAGTGTTCCTCCTCTATGTTCTGCGTGAGTATGTGTAGGATTGTTTTTTTTCTTCATTAAATATTTGATAGAATTCTCCAGTGAAGCCATCTGACCCTGGAGTTTTCTTTACAGAAAGAGTTTGATAATAAACTTAATTTCTTTCATATGTATGTGTCCATTATGATAAGTTGTGTTTTTCAAGGAATTTGTACATTTCATTTAGGTCATCCAATTTATTAGAATAAAGTTACTCATAATATCTTATTTTTCCTCTACTATATGTAGCATCTATAATGGGATCCCCAGGGACTTCCCTGGTGGTCCAGTGGTTAAGAATCTCCCTTCCAATGTAGGGGATGCAGGTTCCATCCCTGGTTGCAGAACTAAGATCCCACATGCCCTGGGGCCACAATGAGAGAGAAGACCGTGTGCCACAACAAAAGATCCCACATGCCATAATGAAGATCCCATGTGCTGCAACTAAGACCCGATGCAGCCAAATTAATTAATTAATTAAATTTAAAAATATATATAAAATGGTGTTCCTTTTTTATGCCTGATGTTGGTTATTTGTGTTTTCTCTATTTTTTTCTTGCTAAATCTTGCTAGGGATTTATCAATATTTAAAAAATATATGCCTATTTTAGTCTTACATTTTTATTCTGTTTAAATGCTGTTTGAGACATTTAATCTTTTTTTTTTTTTTTTTTTTTTTTGGTGGCGCGGCATGTGGGGATCTTAGTTCCCCTGCCAGGGATCGAACCCCTGCCCCCTGCAGTGGAAACCTGGAGTCTTAACCACTGGACCATCAAGGAAGTCCCAGGGATTTATCAATTTTATTAATCCTTCCAAAGAACCAACTTTTGACCTTACATTTTCTCTATCATTTGTCCATTTTCTATTTTATTGATTTATATTCATTATTTTTTTCTATTTATTTTGGATATAATTTGTTCTTTTCTAGCTTCTTAAAGTAAGAGCTTAGATCACCAATTTTACACTTTTCCTTTTTTTCCCAATATAAGCATTTTGTAATAAAGCATTTTTATAAAGCACACTGTTATTGCTGTATCTTACAACTTAGTTATGTTTTGTTTTTCATTTTCCTTCAGTTTAAAATAGTTTCTAATTTCCCCTGTGATACATTCTTTGACCAAGGGTTATTTTCAAATACTTTGGAATTTATAGGTCATCAGGGAGATGCAAGTTAAAATCATAACAGGATACCATTTCATACCCACTGGAATGGCTAAAATCAAAAACATTGACAACCATAAGTGATGACAAGGAAGTACAGCAATTGTCACTCTCATTGCAGGTGAGAGTGTAAAATGATACAACCAGATTGGAGAACTGTTTGGTAATTTGTTATAAAATTAAATGTACATCTACCATATGACCCAGCAATTCTACTCTTAAGTATTTACTCAAGAAAAATGAAAAGATATGTCCACAAAAAGACTTGTACACAAATGTTCATAACAGCCTTATTTGTATATAGCCCAAAAATGGAGACAGCCCAAATGTCCATCAACAGGAGACTGGGATAACAAATTATGACAAGTCATACAATGGAATTCTACAATAGCAAAAAAAGGATGAACTACTGACACAGTTAACAACATGGATGAATCTCAAAACGATTATGTTAAGCAAAAGAAGAAAGATGCAAAAGAATATGAACTGTACAATTCCATTTATATGAAGTCCAGAAACAGACAAACTGATTTTTGGTGTTTGAAGTCAAAAAAGTGCTCTTGTTGAGGAGGTGATTTGCCAAGAAAGGGATCGAGGAAATTTTCTGGGGTAATGGAAATGTTCTATATATTGTTTTGGGTGGTGGTTACACACATACATATATTTAATTGTCAAAACTCATAGAACTGAACATAAAAGAACATTAAAGGTCTGAGCATTTTATTATATGCAAATGTATATATAAAATAAAACAATATTAAAAAATTTAAGAGTATGCAGAATTTTTAGATCTTCTTATATAGTAGATTTCTCCTTGGGGTGATTTTTCCTCCACTTACCCTACATGGATCTTAGAGCCCACAGTTTATCTTCCATTGTCCTACTGAAACTGTGAGCACATTGCACATTCTTGGTTGTCAACCCAATACTACAAGCTTTACAGTATTTAAAGGCTTTCCCTTAGCAAAGGTGTTTCCAGAGCTGACAGCTGTGATTAAATGATAAGGAGGGGCTTCCCTGGTGGCGCAGTGGTTAAGAATCCACCTGCCAATGCAGGCGACATGGGTTCAAGCCCTGGTCCGGGAAGATCCCACATGCCACGGAGCAACTAAGCCCATGTGCCACAACTACTGAGCCTGCACTCTAGAGCCCACGAGCCACAACTGCTGAGCCCACGTGCCACAACTACTGAAGCCCGCGCACCTAGAGCCTGTGTTCCGCAACAAGAGAAGTCACCCCAACGAGAAGCCCGCTCACCACAACAAAGAGTAGCCCCCGCTCACCACAACTAGAGAAAGCCCACATGCAGCAACGAAGACCCAACACAGCCAAAAATAAATACATAAATTTATAAAGAAATAAAATAAATGATAAGGAGTATACTCATTAATATAAATAGACAGATGATTGCTGTGGGCTGAGTAAAGAGTACAGTGCAAATAATTTGGGAATTCCCTATTTTTGGATCTCAGCAACCCTATAGGAGAGTTCATTGTGTCTTATTAGAATAACTGAATAAGAAGTATTAGGTAAACCAGGAATTGATTTTCTAGCTGCATCAGTATAACCCCTTTTTGTGATTTTTTTTTTTTTTGCCGGGCCCCGCTTGTGGGATCTTAGTTCCCCAACCAGGGATTGAACCCAGGCCATGTCAATGAAAGCACTGAGTTCTAACCACTGGATGGCCAAGGAATTCCCTATGATATTTTCTAAGGTGTAGATTTAAAACACAAGAATGCCCCCAAACATCCCAGACTCTTTAAGATAGTACCACCATTAGAGGCTATCAGAGGTAAACTATTTCCTAGGAAAATTAGGTTTTGTGAGTTTGAAGTAGCTAATTTTTTCATGGTCAAAAATCAGAACAGTGGCTTACCAAAAGAGTTGTATTCAATTTTACATTATTTTTGAACAGTCTCTCTCTCTTGTTATATATGATTTGGAGTGTGTTCTGCCTACCAGCATTAATTATATTGTTGGGGTCTGGGGCTATATCCATGCCCTACTTCGTAAGAATTGCTAACTGAAGAAATGACACTAACTTTGCCACCTGCCTCCTATAACACTTTCTTATGTTTTTTGGCAGACTAGTTTTAGCCTAAAAGTCATCTTTCAGGAAGCTTTCCTGACCAGTCACCCAGACTAGTTTAGGTGCTCTTAGAGTCCTGCCCAGAGGTTGATCACACTTTATTTTAATCGTTGGACAACAGTCTCATTCAATAGATTGTCAGTTTCTGGAGAGCAGAGATGTTGTCTCTTTTGTTACACTTTTAATCCCCAGTGCCTGGCATATCAAAGACAGATGTTGAATGAATTTAGGAGCAGCTCAAGAAAACCTTCAAAACTCACAAGTTGTTGGGTAAGATAGCAGATCCCTTAAAAACCCAACCAAACAAAAACACTCTGTAGTATTCCAAGACTTTATGCACAGAACACAGTCTAAACCCAGTGTAGAGGTTTCAAAATCTAGTATGAAGGAAAAATACCGTCCCTGCTCTCTCCTTGGAGAAGATATCATTGTGCACATGTGGACTTCCTCCTGGTGAAATAGTTTGAAAGGAGGAGATGGTTGTGGGCCCTTGTGCTGCTTCCCTTACTGAGGTCAGGGGTGTTGAGAGGTAGTGTGATCCAGTGACACAGTGGTTTAGAACCAGGGCTTTGCAGTCAGTGGGTTTGAGCCTTACTCTGCTATTTGCTCCTAGTGTGAAGTTTATGCAAGTTTACTTGACCTCTTGAAACTTGGTTTTTCTCATCAGTAAAATGGGGATAATGGTAGGATCTTCATAGAATTATGAGATTAAATAACAAAAGGTATGTATAGGGAC